TCAGGTTGTGTTTCATCTGTGTTTGTCCATTTGTATGCAAGGTATTGTGTGTTGGTAAGTGAATGTTGAAGTTAAATGAAAGCAAAAACAGGCTGTAAAGAAAATAAACCTGATCTACAAAGGAGGAAACCATTCTACGAGGGGGAGAAATAGGGGGGGGGGGCATTGAGGCCATTAAACACTGACACAACCAACAGTGAAGTGAGCAGAAAAACAGAGAATGAAAAAAACAGGAAAACCATGAAGTACAGAGGGTGAAAGCGGTGAAATATAAAACTCTGATGGGATCTGAAGATACGGTGTGACCTTTAGAAAGCCGGCCATCGGTGAATTAAGTGGCACTAACCCACCTCGCTCTTCATTTACGCTGCTCTCCTGTCTCTCTCCAGGACTCCCACCATGGCAGGCGGCTTGTTCTCCATAGACAGAGATTATTTCCAGGAGATCGGCACGTATGACGCAGGCATGGACATCTGGGGTGGAGAGAACCTGGAAATCTCTTTCAGAGTGAGTGAACATGACTGTATTCTTCCATGCACTGGCAGGCATTCAGGAGTGTCTGCCGCGGGTCAGAAAACACACACACATGCGTACATCACACTTGTGCGTTTCACTCTGACTAAATTGTTGACTTGACTAATACTTTGTCAGGCGTCATTCTGACTGGCGTTCAATCAAACTTTATTCTGACTGTCACAACACAGGCAGGACCAATGTGCGTCATCCATCTCCCAGTAGAGTTCACTGGTCAGCCTTTGCTCATTCAGAGGTTAGGCCTGTACATACAGTATGTCTATTCTACACAGTAATACTCTATATGTGTGTTCTTTGTGCTTCACAGATTTGGCAGTGCGGTGGGACTCTAGAGATTGTCACATGCTCTCACGTCGGTCACGTGTTCAGAAAGGCAACGCCCTACACGTTTCCCGGAGGAACGGGACAGATCATCAACAAAAACAACCGGCGCCTGGCAGAAGTCTGGATGGATGAATTTAAAAACTTCTTCTATATTATCTCTCCTGGTGAGTTGGTGTGTGTGTGTGTGTGT